AGCACGGCATTGGGGAGAGTGCCCTGGCTCACCTGTGCCTGCTGCACCTTCATTTCCCCCCACCAGAGACATTTCTGCTGAAACTGGTATGTTTCCACAAAAGGATTAAGTTTTGATGAAGCCCCATTTTCCAAAGTCATGTGGAAGTAATCCCGACCCACCGCGCTTCCAACACAACCGCTGGCAAACCAAGGAACCAAAGGAAACTAGAAAGCAAGGCAGCTTACTTGATTTTCATAGTCAAAACTGCAAGAAAGGTGAAAAGAGAACGACCAGCTTAACTAAAGGAGAGCAAGCAGGATTTTTAATATTCCCAAGTTTTGGCTATGATATATGATATATTAAATGTTAAAGTCCACCTGTAGTAAAGCAGTTTACTTCTAATCTTTCTTAAAAAAAAAAAAAAGGCAAAACAGCAAATTAAATACAGCCCTCACCTCAAGTCTCAATTCTTTATTGTTTCAATGGTGATGAATCAGGTCATATACTAATAAAATTCCCGTAGAAATCCGATCTTACTGCGTAACCTTCAAATTGCAGCTAGGCTGCTTTGCGCATTTCCTCCTGCCCTTGCCGCTCCACGTTTCCATTTCACTTCTGCATGACATTCGGCTCGGCAACAAGCTGCCTCCTTCAGCTGCCCCAGGTTACCATTTATTTTACAGTATCCCCAAGGTTTCCACCACCATGTAGATCAAACTTGCAAAAGTCACTAATGCTGGTAGGTTTTGCAGGTCCCTGGAGTTATTTCTGAAAACAGGTTCCATTGTGTTCATATTAGGCTTTTAAATTTTATAGCTCATTTTTAAATTACATGTTAATTTCTGAAAATGTTGAATTGAGCGGAAAAGTTGGCAAGGACCACACAAAATCCCAGCCCTGGTCTTGGTTTGTGTGCACGTGTGTGCGTGTGCACGGTACATATGTGCAGGAACACAGCCTTACACTTCGGTGGGCTGCAGGGCCTGACCCTGCGGTGCGCTGGGCGCCTCCTCTGAGGCCCTCTGTTTGTGGCAGAAAACTGCCCAGGATTGTGCTTTATAAATCAAAAACTTTGCAAGATCCAAATGAAAGAAAAAAGGGAAGGAGGAAAGAAAAAGGCAGCAATAATGCATGCATCAGAAACTAAACACACTCTCACTATAAATGTCTAAAAATAGAGATCAAACATCTTCAAAAACCAGTTATTCAAGGATTTTTTAAAGCCACCCTCCTTTTCAGGCCTGTGAGTCTTCAGCTTCCCCATTACTTTGATTTGCCCTGGCTTTTCTGCTGTGCTAAGGACACAGAAAGTGAAATCTGCATGTACCCAGAGTCCTGCCTCTCCATCCCCCTTCCACTCGCTCACATTTTACTCCTGCTTTCACGACGCAGCGCAGCTCTCCATGGAGCTGTGTCCCAGCACCGGGGGTTCATTTCCTTGCACCACGAGGATGCAGGTGACTAGGAACGGGGAGTACTCGCAGGGCATTGCACATTCATCCCAAAAAAAAGGGATAACAATTAGTAATCCGTAAACCAGAGACTGGCCTTGGCATTTTAGATTTACGCCCAGCCTCACTATAAACATTGCTAGATTTTCTCCCTACATGTTTCTGCAGTGCTGGGTACAGTCAGGCTGTTGTTTTACACACATTTATTCAATAAATGCAGATAGGTAAGTCTGGCTGCCGTTACTTGAGCCATGGAGAGAGGCTGCCCTGAATGCCAGCGTGCCCAGGGGTTGAGGAAAGCTTATTCTCTGACATGTATTTTTAGCAAAATAAAAATACTGAACAAACCTGCCAGTGGCCAGTTTAAAACACACATTTGACTAATTTCATATACTGATATATTATTGCTGCACCAGGACTAATCTGAACTGAAAATTTTCTGCCTTAAGTGACCACAGTTATGGATGTCACATTATATAGAAATGCATATATGCCTACAACGAAAATACTTGCACATGTGATATATGGGAATGTGTTCTCATTAAATATATATATACACACATACATATACAAATTTGAAGTGTTCTCAGTGTTTTTTCGGTTGATAATTCAGTGAATCCTTTACATCAAATGTAAAGGTATGCAGGTCACTCTGCAAAAACACCATGTTTTCCAGCAATATCTTATGTGGGTATAAAGCAAGGCCACTCTCCTGACAGGTTATACAGCCTGTCCTTGATCTTTACATAGGACTTCCTAGAGTAGCATATGCTCCAGTGTTTATAATCATGTTAATGACTGAAATGGGAAACAGTACAACCCATTTTCCTTATAAACCTTAAACTGCGACTTCTTGTTTTTGTCATTGGACACTGTGCTCATATCCTGTTAATTTGGCCGTGAGGCACATGGCCGGGCTCTGCCCGGGGCAGCGCGGGCTGCGGAGCAAACAAATGACTTCCTGCCCTCGGGAGCAGGGCAGCTTTGCCAAATGTTTCTCAAAAATAAAATGTCAATCAAAATGTTCTCAACCTGTGGTTTTATACAACGCAACGCAAAATGTTTTCAGAAACTAACATACCTACTAAGGACTCCAAAATTCTGCTTCAACCCCTTTGCGTTAAAACTTATCTGTTTCATTTGGTAGCAAAAACTGCATATGGGACCCCTTTTTAAGTGGTGAAGTCTCACTTAAAAAAAAACAAACCAAACCAAACCAAAAAAACTTGCTGCTTTCAGGAGGATCTAAGTGGCATAGTCAAAAATATTTGTTATTTAACTCAAACGAAATAGATCATACTTATTTTTGAGCATACAGCTACAAGTCCATTACATTATTGCACTGAAAAATACTATCCCAGTTATTAAAGTTACAGAAAAAAAACTTAACAAATAAAACGTTTTTATTTTATCTCCTGTCTAACAATTACCCGGATAAATGCAATTATTTCTAAATAAATTTCATGAATGGATAGCTTGAAAATACTTTTTTTTT